ATCCGAGTAAAACCATCTTTCTTATTCAATAATCTCGTCAAGTCTTCCACGTGTAAATTCCACTTCTCCATTGACAGCTCAGGAAAAACCCGGGATAACCATGATAGGTGGGTAATATGTCTAGTGTACCGACCTACATCATCGTGTCCGAAGCGTAGACCGGTGATTAAGCAAAACTTCTCCCGCCCAAAACACGTATACGCCGGTGGAAAATCAAACCATAGCTCTTCATCACGACGTTGTATAGTCTCTGGTAGATCGCTAGTCATGGTTTGAAGAAACAGATGGGTCAACATAGCATCTCCACCCGGATGTTGTACTTTCAGCCATGGCCCGAAGCAAGTATCCTAAAATTTTCTTTGTGCAGGTGAAAGCTTCGACGCAATTGTTTTGGCCAGGCTTACTTTATTTCTTAAGGTCAATTGAGCCGAATAAAAGTTCTACAAAAACAATAAACATACCAAGTTAGATAAACCAAAAACTACACTGTGAAGATATACCAAGAACAATAAACATAAAGAGTAGTAGTTTATTCTTCAAACTTAAATTTGCAACACTGTGAATTTAGTAGTTATCTTTAGGGATGGCAATGGGTCGGGTCGGGTCGGGTTTTTGGGCCACCTAACCCGACCCGAGAAGAAAGGGTTTTTCACCCGTGACCCGACCCGACCCGACGAAATTAAGGTTTCACCCGACCCGACCCGAATATATGACTTAGAAACCCGACCCGAAATAATAATAATAAAAATTTTATTCAATGAAAACAATGACTTAATTGAAAAAAATTATATATGGAGGGACATTATTGTAATTATCCCTAAATATATAGGATAAAATTATATATATTTTTCGGGTCGGGTCGGTCGGATTTTTTTCACCCTAAACCCGACCGAACAGTACATTTAAAAAACCGACCCGACCCGACCCGAACCCGAATTTTAAAAAAAAAGATCGGGTCGGGTCGGGTCGGAACCCGTCGGATTCGGGTTGAGTTGCCATCCCTAGTTATCTTTGTTTTTTTGTTGAAGTAATGCAATTCATTCAAGTTTCAATTTGCAGAAGAAGAATAGTTCCTGAAACTTAAAATCGCAACACGAAAATGACTATCGCAACGCGAATTTGAAAATCGCAACGCGAAACAAATCGCATTGCGATTTGTCGTTGCGATTTCATTTCGCGTTGCTATTCTCGGTTTCAAATACTAAAATTGAAACTTGAATGGATACATTACTTCAAAAGACAAAACAAAGAAATACTAAATTCACAGGGTTTAAAGACTAAACAGTTTAGCAGTATTGGCAGCAATCGAATGAATTTAATAAGCAATCTAAATGAAATGGTTACAAAACAAGAAATACTAATTCACAGGGTTTAAAGATAACCCTCGGTGGTTGATTTGGTTGATTTTCCATTTCTGACTGTGAATGATGTGAGGGTGGCTCTGAGAGATGGTGATAGACGTATTTCGCCGGAGATGGGGACTGATTTCGTCGGAGATGGGGAGGATGTCGCCTTAGAGAGAGTGAGATGGAGATGGGACTGAGTTGTGATTTAGGGTTTTAGGTTATGAGTTGCAATTACGGGATATACTGTGGACGGTTCAGTGTTCCGATATATTAATATTTGTGTTTGGAATTTGAAAAAAAAATACGCGTTACGATAATAATGGCGCTTTGAAAATCGCATTGCGATAGTCAGCATCGCGTTGCGATAGTCAGAATTGCGTTACGATAGTAAGAATCTCGTTGCGATAGTTAGAATTGCGTTGCGATAGTCATAATCGCATTGCGATTTACATATTCGCATTGCGATAGTCGGAAAATCGCAACGCGAATTTGGAAAATCGCATGCATGATCGCGTTGCGAATCTGGAAATTGATTTGCGATACGGAGATCGCGTGCGAATTATGATCGCATTGCGATTTAGTTGATCATTTTGACAAATCCAAAAAAATTTGATTAAAATCGTATATTATAAGACATTTTTAGTCACTGAGGTTATTTTCTCTTACTTTTTCTAGTTATAATCTTACATTTCGTGTCATTATCACAACAGAAATTATTATAAATTTAAATATAATAAAATATTATTATGAAAAAGTAATAATACGGCAGAATAGACACAAATATGAATTAAATACAACTATAATCTTGTAGTTGGACATAGCCGTATTAAACACCGTAATTCCTGCTGTGCTGAATATGGCAGATATAGACACTTCATTTTGTCTTGGCTGATATTGTGAGCATCGACAGGTTTTGTCCGAAACAATATCAGACAATCTCAACAGCAAAGGAACAGAATTAATTTATAAAAACACCAAGTTGCCGCGCTTTTATATAATCTAAAACACCACTTTTCAGTTTCTCATCGTCCACCACCCTGCAGAAACTTAAAATCGATCATCTCGTAGGCTTCCTCTATTTTTCGAGATTTTCTATCCATGGAACTTGTCACCTCAAAATCCGAATCGAGCCCTGGAAGAACCCGTTCATTCACCGTCAAAGGCGACGCTATCGACATGAAGTGCATCAAGCGACGCCGAAGAGATCATTCCAATGGTGCACTAGGCTGCAATAATCAACAGCTACAAGGTGATCAACCTACTGCAACTACAGTGAAGAGAAGTTCAAGATTCAGGGGTGTCAGCAGGTTGTTAACATGCACTTCTCTTTTTCTTCCTTCGTTAAAATGCTTTGAATTTCTAACGGTGCAGCTGATTGTTACATGCCCAAACAGACATCGCTGGACCGGAGGTTCGAAGCTCACTTATGGGATAAGCGTCGTGGAATCCAACAAGGAAGAAAGGAAAAAAGGTATTTTCCAGTTTTCGTCTTATGAAATCCGCTTTCTCGTCAGATACTACACATATTTTCTAATGCCATGATTGTTTTATGTCATCTGGCTGAACCTTGGATGAATTTTTGCTGGATGGAACAGTTTATCTCGGTGAGTCCTTAATTTTGGAGCTCCATTTTGTTTTTTTGGAGAAAATTAAATGGAAAACAGGCCATCTTTTGATACTCTTGGTATTTATTAGGAGCTTATGATGAAGAAGATCAGCAGCTAGAGCCTATGATTTGGCTGCAATCAAGTACTGGGGAACATCTACTTCCACCAAATTTTCCTGTAAAATTACTGTCTTTGTTGACCTCAGAGTTCTTTTCATTTCTTTGATGCCATGAAAATGTCTAATATAATCTATTTTCCAGATATCCGATTATCAGAACGAGGTTGAGATAATGAGAAGTGTCACAAAAGAGGAATACTTAGCCTCTTTAAAAGGTAATTTCGTATGTCGAAATATCACATTATTATTCAGACTCGAGTATGAGAATTAGGTACAAATATATTCGATTTTTCTTAAGCTTTGCGGGATATTCCAATACTCATCTTTGAATGTGTGTCAAACACGAATATTAGACATAAATACTTCACGAAAAATGAGAGTTTGATTTTTTTTCTTCCGTATTTATCATGGGTTTTATAGGAGAAGCAGTGGGTTCTCAAGGGGAGTTTCCAGTACAGAGGAGTAGCGAGGTAAACATATAAGACAGAATTTTAACCATTTTTTTATCAAAATAATTGAGATATTTTACTAATGCACTGCAGGCATCATCATAATGGGAGATGGGAGGCAAGAATAGGCAGGGTTTTGGAAATAAATATCTTTATCTTGGAACATACAGTGAGTTCTTTTTTCTTTTCTTTTTTTTTACTTCAGACACTAAATTTTGTCCAGAGTCAGTCTCGAGTCTATGTTCGAGCTAGATTCAGAATAAAAACTCTCGATTGAGTCCGATGCACGCTCTTATTGCAGGTACACAGGAGCGCACATGCTTATGATATTGCAGCAATTGAATATAGAGGGATCAATGCAGTAACCAACTTTGATTTAAGTACGTACATCAGATGGCTAAAACCAGGAGCCAATGATGCCCTTGTTTCAGATCAAGTTAAGACAACCTCGGCGTCTAATCCGCTCTGCCAACATCGAACTTTTTCCCAACCGAGCAAAGAAATTGCTTACCTCCTTTAACTCCAATGCCTTGATGGCAGAACCCGTAGATATCCGAAAGAAGGCCGTCGTTAGTCATTGTCCCCATTCATCATCAGCTCCATCGACAGCATTGAGTCTCCTCCTTAGGTCTTCGATGTTTAACAAATTAGTCGAGCAGAACTTGAATGCAAATCACGACGAAATGAAGAGAACGACACAAAGGAAGTGGCCGAGGTAGACGTTTGAAAATGTCCCCATTATGTGCTCCGGCAACAGAAGCGTACCGTCTGGTTTAGAATCCGAAGAGGGTAAGCTTTCATCATATGATAAAACAGGACAGTCCATGTGGAATGATGCCTTAAATCTTTTAACTTAACCGCCACTGATGGTTCTGAAAATGAGTAGGTTTTAAGTTGTTTTTTTGTTTTGTCCGAGTGTGACATAATGAACTCTTGCAATTGGTTACAGACCAGTTCCATGAAGAACAGTTTAACTTATTTTATTTTCTAAATCACATGTTGGAATCATTCTTGGAGAAGATAAAAGTATATATGTAAAAGTTTTTTTTATATATTCGGAGAACATAAGTTTATACTCGTAAGTATCGAACACAAGAAATTTACCAAAAATCGAATAATCAATAATACATATTCAGAATAAACTGAATCAACTGCTTAATAAGGTATACAAACAGTTAAACAACAAGAAATTATTCGTCATTTAGCTAACTAAATCTTATGTACTTGAAATTGTTATTATATTGATATGTATACCTTAATATTACTTATCTTTTTGCTCTCTAGCATAACAGTTTTTGGGGAATTAACCCCGGAAATAAAATCAAAAAAGCAAAAATTAAAGCCACAATAATGGCATGCCCCAAAACCAATACTGAAATTGCAATCCTGAACAGTTTTCTATATTGTACACTATGTTAAAGTTAAACTTAGGTGACGTTTTGAATCACACCTCTGCAGGCTTCTTGGCCCTTCCTCTACATTATTGATACCATCTTGCATGATGGCATCTCGGCCTGATCGTACCCTCGGAAAAAATATCTGCAAAGTCTTTCAGACCCCGAAACAAACCAGGTAAGATTTTTATATACGACGATATGCATGCCAAAATTTAGACATGGTAGTTATCAGTTTATATTCCAGCAGTGACTACATAACCGAGAATAGTTTGCATATCAAAATTTTGGCAGTTGAGATGAACACATTGATCGGGTGATATATGACAGATAAAGCTATCATATTCAAAACTAATATTGATACCTGGTCAATGCACACTTTATTCGACCACAACAGGTTTACGTACAATACGAATGTCAATGTGTAGCTGAAAGAGCACAAGATATTTGAACATTTATCTATGAACACATAAAGATACCTTTGTAGTGGGAGTTCCCGAATGTGTGAGTAAAAAACGAGATTTCCCAGAAAGTTTAAGTTGCTCCTGCAAGAAAATGTCAAATCACAGATTATTGCCATAAGAACATTGACAGGATGGACCAACCTTAGGCTATATTTTAGTGCAAAAACGGGGATCATATAAAAATGTGATGGAATGAAAACATAATCATACTTCAAACTCAAAAGGTGCAAACAAACTAAAAGGTCATCTTCAGACTGGTGCCAACCTGCAAGGCTTCAGGCATGTTTGCTTTTTTGCCACCAACCATGTTACAAAGGTACCAAAAGCCAGCATTGGCAAGATCCTGCCACAGAAGAGAAGTGTGTAAATTCTGTTGAATAAAAACAATAAAGAAACTGCACAGCCAAAAACAAAATCCACTCTATCTAATATCATAGTCTTTTCATCATTGCCCCAACCACTCCTTATTCCAATGATTACAGGGTAAGAGAGCAACGAGGATCAGTCAAATAATGCAATTTCCCGCCCAGAAACACGCATTCAAATTACATATAGCAAAGTAGAAGAAAAGGTAATATATATATATATATTTACCTGCTTATATTCCAATGAACCTATTTTTCCATCCTGCAAGTGAGCAAAGGTGGAAAAGCAAAACAGATCAATATATGTGTATATAGATACTATAACCCTCCAGGAACAAGAGAAAGAAACGGAAAAGATCGTAACACTCCTTTATTTATGGAGAACCACGTTTCATTAGTAAGTTTAATATCTCTTGACATGAGGCAAACGAAAGAACATAAGAAGAGACACGGCCACTGTGAGCAAAGGTAGAAAGCAAAATAGATCAGGTACATGTGTACTATATTCTATGATCTCCAGGAACAAGATAAGAATGAAAAGAATCAGCAATGCTGATTTATGTTTCTGGAGAACAAGCTTAATATGACAAGAAAAAAAAACCATTAAGTGTTGTGCCATATATCAAAAGCTTCTAAATAACATTAACTGCAATATCATTAGAGAGAGAAAAAAATAATTCTCACCAGACCAGAAATCATTCTCTGCAGCGCATCCAAATCATATTCAAAGTTGGAAAGATTCTTACGAGCCTCTCTACCTGTTTTACGTATATGAACAACATTCGAGATAGTAAACTATTAATTCTTTTGATCTATCCAATTTGATCTCTATTTACCCCCAAAACTAAGCATATTAACCACTAGCCCAAAAGCAGAGAGCAAATAACGCATGATATGGTTGATATTCTAACATAGAGTTCAAATGTTCCAAACCCACATTATTATATTGAAATCATCGCAGATTCATCTCCACAATGAGAACCTAGAAGCATTTGAAACAAACATGTGTGATAATAGATATATTTTGACAATTGATTAGATTTCAATTTCAAATTTTAAATTCACCTGAGAATGTTATCGTATTAACTTTTTTCCTAATATGTTTGAGTCTGGATAATTTTTTCTGCAGTTAATTTCATCTAATTCAATTTAAATAGTAAAAAAAATAATTTATTCATCTTTTTATTCAATGTTATCCTATTTTTTAATATCGTAATCAAAACAAACATTACAAATTTTAAGGTTGTTTATATAAAAAAAGGTTTTTCATATATAGGATTTAATTTTGAGGAATGTAAATAAGTTTAGTATGTTTAATTAAGATAGTTAAACAAGAATTAAGTAATTTCAGTGATTAAATGGACGATTATTCTTAGAGATCTTAAGTTCAAGCATTAGAAATTATAAAAGTATTTAAGTTTCTCTTGCCAATTGTAATCTCTGTTGCGAAATACGGCTATTGGATATAACAAAATCTCAACTGATAATTTGAGAAAATAAAAATGAAGATAAAGAATACAAATTTACGTGGAAAACCCTAAATAATATAGGGTAAAAACCACGGGAAAAGATAAAATAATTTCACTACGAGAAAATAGGAATTACAATTTCTCTCGATCTAACAAGGAGAAAATAATAACAATTCTCTCTGATAAAATGAGAAAACAACTCTCAAGAAACTCTCTAATTCTCTAGTATTGGGGAGAAAACTATAATGATTTGAGATGATTTTGAAGTTAAATGGATTAGGATATTTATAGTTGAAACTTAAAGACTAATATTGTAAATATCCTAAAATACATTGACTAAATTGGATAATTTTTCCTTGTCAATTTTCAATTAAAATGTGCTGCCAATTTTGCCAATTTGGACATCGAATTCACTCACTTTGCAACTGTCAAATTTTAACTTGGACTTTCAACAAGCTCATCTCAAATGGTTGAAAATCTTTATAATAATACTATTATAATCATCTTGATTAATAAAAAATTAGGATGGTTGAATACTAATCAAATTTGATAAGTTCGATATCAATTAATTTTATATATTTTTTTTTGGAAAATGTAAGTTAAATCAATTTTTTTAATAATACAATTGAATTTATAATAAAAACATTTAATTGATTTCAAATAATAATTTTATTTTATTTTTAAAAATAATATTATAATATCCTCCTATATTTTTTAATGTATATTTATGAGGCAAGAACAATCAGTTCCCTGTTGATCATATTATTTTGGACAGCCCGTGTCCACGTGCTGTTGATAAAACTAAAATCTTACGGCCGATATGTAGAGTTTAATGTGCAACTATCTTTTTCTTAATTCTAATGAACTTCTAGAAAGACTAATTAAATTACGTTTTTTATTCTTTTCATATATAGCAAAAGGAATTTACACGTAGGAATATCTATGCATGCCGCGGTTTCGCTATCAACTTGGCAGCCAAGGGCCCCACCCGAATAAAATACGAAATAATTAATAGATTTTCATTAAACTAAAAAAGCCAGATATATAAGGGTAAACTACACAAATCATCATTCAAATTTATTCATATTCTTATTTTGGTACTCAAGTTCAAAACTTTTCAATTTAATAACTAAATTTTATACATCAATTTTTTTATGACTCATCGATTAATTACTAACAGAGTGATGACAGGACATTTCAAATTAATTTTTTCCCACTTGTTTAACTTTTCAACTTTCTAATTTTTACGTCTGTTTTCTTTTCTAAATTTCTTTTACTCTCTTATTTTCAAACTCATTTTTTGTAACGCAATTAAATCATTACTTTTAACTCGCATCGAAACATCAAACCATCAGTTTATCATAAAAAATTAATTAAAAAAGAAGAAAGGATAAAGAGAAGGTGAAGAGATTGAATCAATGTATGAATCAAACACATGTTTCAACATCTTATTAAACAAATTCTAAGCATCTTTCATATTTCTAAACTTTACAAATCAATTAATTAATAAGTTTAAAAAAAATATTTGTCAGATATTTCGTCAAACGATTCTAAAGTTAAATATCTCAATTTTAACCGTGTAACCATAGAATTTTAACGTACATCTTCGGTTAAAAACAACTCTCTTGTTCAATCAATTATCCCTTTTTAATATACCATCAATCGTCGAGTTATATAAAACATAATCTCACATATACATTCGATCAAACAATCGACATGCATACAAAGCCATCAAACTATTCTACAAAAATAAATTAGACCCGGAACTCTCCATCTTTAATACATTATTTCATTTCCTAAACGTAATCGATAACAAGCTTAAAGCACAAAAAAAACAACGAAAATTTATCAAAACCCTACTTTTAAGCATCAAATAGCGAACGATAAAAGTTTGTTGTATGTCACATCCATCATGAACCCTAAATCAATTTTATTAAAATATAGATTTTACATTCTTCTTAAATCTTCAACTCTATGCCTATGTTCATACATTTCTTGGATTGAGTTCTTAGAGAATGACATATAAAAACTAACATTAGTTAAGGCTCTTGACACTACGATGTTTGTTCTTTGAGAAAATTTAGGGTTTAGTTTAGGTTTTTTTATGTTTTTCCTGTAATTATTTTTTATGTGGATTTTATTATAATTAATTTTTTTTTTCGATAAATATATTTAAAAATTAGTTTATTAGGTCAGGTTATAATACCGTGAAATTAACGGGTGAGTGTCCAAAAAATTTAATGTATATAGTTCGGTTATTAAAATCAAATTGTTTAAATTAAATGATTAAAATAAGAGTTAAAAGAAAATTGAGTGATGACTTATGTAGTTTACCCGATATAGTGCCTACCATTAGCCATTAAGTTGTGCTAATCCTTTGTCGCCTTTCTTTTTTAATGTTATATTTTTAAAAAAAGTAAATAAAATCTTCATTTTGGGACCAATTGGTTTATAATTATTGAGAAGAAAGGAATTTTAAGAAAAGGATTCTCTGATAAAATTTCCGTTTGTTACCTGAGCAAATCTCGGGAAGGAAAACTTATTTTTATTTTCTCCTGTGTTGTGAAGCTTTCTTTAGAGAATCTGAGTTAACTCGCTGCGCTTACTCTGTACGAACGCCCTTTTGTTCCCTTTTCTTGTTCTTTGATTTCCATTTCTAGAATTAGATTTTCTTTTGCTTGTTTTCTTTAATTTGCTAAGATTTGTGTGTGGTAATTAGTGTCTAAGGAAATTCTAGGTTGATTGCTAAGATATGTTGAAGCTTCTTTTATCGTTGTTGTTATAGTTAGGGATTCTGTGTTCGGATTCATTTCTCTGACAAATTAGATTTGTGTTTTTAGCTTATTTTCATGGCGATTTTAACTTTCTATGAGTATTTGCCGGCGTTTTTCTGCTAGGAGTTAATTTGTTCTAATAAGTCTAGAAATAATTGAATTATAATCTTAATTTCATGTTTGATGGTTGTGATTTGCTGAATCATTGTTCTGCGCAGAATTTATAAGCAAAAGTGTGCTTTTTGTCATCTTTGGTCCTTTTCTTCAATTGCTTTATCTTTAAGCATTTTTCTCATTTTTCTATATTATTTTGTATACAAATCGATGTTTCCAGCAATTAGTGCTTGAGATTCTAAGTTGTAAGTGCTTAATTAGTGCTTAATTAGAATGGGATGTTAACTAGAGTCTATGGGATTGGAATGAGTTGCTTATCGTGTAGATCTTGATTTAGTGGTCTATGCATGCTGCTCAAAGTATTATTGAGGTTTGAATGTCAATCTACATAAAGTTACAGAACTGATGTACAAAACTTGGTTTCTTGCGAAGTCTGATTTTAGTCGTCTTGCTTCCTGTTTAAGTTAAAAATCTTTGGCTTTTATAATTCACTTTTTGCATCTTTGTATTGATTTTGGATTGGCTTCCTTTAAATCTGCAGGAGGAGGTGAGGATGTCGACTCCTGCAAGGAAGAGACTGATGAGAGATTTTAAGAGTTTGCAGCAAGATCCTCCTGGAATTAGTGGCGCTCCTCAAGATAACAACATTATGCTCTGGAATGCTGTTATATTTGGGTATATGATAAAACAAGAATGGAGTATCTGTATCTTTTAGATTAAGATTCAATAACATGTGCTAATGTCTATACTATGATGAATTTGCAGGCCTGATGACACCCCATGGGATGGAGGTAATGTAAATTCTGCTGCATATTTTGGTTTGAAGAATCAATTTGTCTATGGTTCTTGGGCTGGTTTGTTTGGTTGTCTCTTTAAAAGATTGCTATGTTAATCTATCTATTAGGCCCATAATGATGTTATCAGTTTCCCATATATTAATTGGTTAAATGCTTCCTCTGAATGGTTTTCTGAATGATGAATTTATTATGTTTTGGCCCAAAGATAGAATTAGAGATTCTGTGAATTGTATGAGCTGATACTTAATGCAAAAGGCTGAAGGTTGGATTTGTTCAATGGGGAGTGACATTTTTAATTGTCCTGTAGACTTATTTATCACGTGAATAAGTGACGCAGAAGTGGAACAATCTCTACATGGACTAGAGCCTTAGTAAATCTTTAAATTCAATGACTCTACGATTTTGGTAAGGATTTTCTTCGGAAGATGGCCATAAGATCTCTGCATTTCGGATGGAAAATTGTCATGCTTATTTCTGATGTGGATTTTAGTTTGAATAGTAGAATTTTAGGATTATATAAGGTATAAGTTCGGATATTTTTCCCCAATATAATGTAGGTAAACTACTAACAACTATAAATTAATAATATCTGTCTGATAATTTTGACTCTTTTAGGTACGTTTAAGCTGACACTTCAGTTTACGGCAGATTACCCAAACAAGCCACCAACGGTTCGTTTTGTATCTCGAATGTTCCATCCAAATAGTAAGCCTCTAGACAAATCCTCTTTTTTTTTTTTCTGGATCCACATTTTCATCTTACATTTCATTTTGTTGCATGGCATGCAGCTTTTAAGCTTTTTATTACAAGCTTAAACTTTTTACACATCTGTGCAATAAGATAAATTTATCCTTTCTTGCATTTTAGGTGTAATACGTAGGGTGCAACTATAGCGTTTGTGCTTATGTCACTCGTCATGCCTTAAATTTTTATTAACTATACTTCTGAATGAGAAGATCTAATACTCAGAAAGTGCTTGGTACTTGTGATTTCTAAATGAGTAAACCTCTACTATGAAAGTGGGTTCTCAGGGAAGATTAAATTAGCATTGTTTATGAATCTCCAAACATGAGGTAATGAATGTTTAGGAAACACAAGGCCATTATTTGCTAGTTGTTTGTGTCATAAGCACCCGTCCATCCACACAATCAAAGCTTTGAAGCTGATGTTACTTCGCAAATTTACATGCTCGGCTTCAGTTTCTGGTTCTCATCATTTGATAACTATATTGTATTTTATTTGTTATTATGATACAAGTTTTCTTTTTGTGCTCGTGTATTTTGGTAATCAACAGTTTTAGCCATTTTTAATCGGATCCGTGTTTTATCTTGCTAACTTGTCAGTTTATGCTGATGGAAGCATCTGTTTGGATATTCTACAAAATCAATGGAGTCCAATTTATGATGTAGCTGCAATATTGACATCTATTCAGGTACGATATAATTTCTTCATCCTTTCATTTGCGGCTATCTAAGGGCCACAGAATAAAATATTATTAATTCCAATTGCCTCTGTCATGGTATATGCTTTGAAACAACCTGCCTATTATTGTGAACTTCCATCTGAAAGATCTGGAAGTGAAAACATTGGTTACCCTTGCAAAGCTCTATGGACAACCAGCTACTGGAACTCATTATTCATGTGATGGACCCAGACCTTTAATACTTTGCATGCATCATTTACGATATTGCTTAGCATTGACATCCTGTTGTGTCATACACACATAGAACATATAGAGATTGGGCTTCGGGATAAACAATTGGAGGGAAAAGAGGTAACTTTTCTTGTGAACATGTCGGCACCTCTAACTTAAGAATCCTTGGTTCTAGTCCTGATAGGTTGTTAGAAAACTATGGTTGTAATGCATTTAACATGTATGCCACTTATTGTCATCTCTCTTAGACATGTTTAAGCAGCTCTTTTTTGTGTATGCAGTCATTGCTTTGCGATCCAAATCCAAACTCCCCTGCAAATTCTGAAGCTGCTCGGATGTTTAGTGAGAACAAGCGCGAACACAATAGGAGAGTACGCGAGGTTGTTGAGCAGAGTTGGACCGCTGATTAATATCTCTCATGTCGGGCTCCATTGTAAGAACAAGCGTGAAGACAATAGGAGGGTATGCGAGACTGCTGATGGATGGCTCGAGGTTTGGTTTCTATGGAACTTCAAAATAGTCCCAATGGCCTGTCTAAATAACATTGAACACTAAAAATGTTTTCAAACTATTTTGGCTTTGTTAGTTGTTTGTGTTATGAAAATGAATGCTGCTCCTTGGCCTGCACTTTTCATCAAGTACTCGAAGAAGCATAAATAAACCGTAAGCCGGTAATCATACTTTGAAACTTACATTTGGAGACTTGATGATGATTTGTGTAAATACAAGTGGAACTATTAAGTTTACTTTTGGGCACTGCCTCTTCAAATATTTTTGGTCTAATTGTTTTTTAGGTCCTACTTTTACAACTAGACAAATCAAGCCCCCAATTTTTTGGTTCAATTTCGTTTTAGGTCCTTAGTTTTGAAACTGGGCAAATAAACCCGGACCTACCATCTTTTGATTTAAATATTTTTTATTCAAAGTTAAATAGATTATACCCTAGTTCTTAATTTTATAATTTTAAATTGATGATTTAACAATTAGGTTTTAATTAATAATTTTATTTTATTTATATTCAATGCTATGGTTACAAATCGTTGTAACAAACGTTGCTAAGCCCTTTATAACAAAAATAAACCATAACTTTAATTGGTTTTTTAATAAGTCAAATTTATACTAATACTTTTAAGTTTTACTTCTTTTATGATCCTCAATATTATATGCACATGCCAAGTAAAACTTCTTGCCATTCAAGACGAAACATATAATTAGGCAATGCCCAGCAGAATCATAACTTTATTTTAAGGAACATGAATTTCAAATGTAAAGTGAAAGTGTCATTTAAGTTGTGAGCAGCAAATGCGAAAGCGAAACTGTCACAATGGTTGGATGAAGAGAAAAGAAGTGAAGTAATTGAGGATTTCAAACATTATTGGCAATTAAACGGTACTGCACCATGCCAAATTAGAACAAATGCGGGATACTTTTTTTTTGGCTCAAACATAATTTATTTATTTATTAAAAAGGCTAATAAATAAGAGAGCGACCATGATCAAGTTGATGAGGGAACCTTTTATTACACTTTTACAAGCTAATATTGCCTTGGAGACATGCTGCTGCTGTATCCTTTTTCGGCTATAGATCTTCTCCATTTCTAGGTTTCTAGAAACATCGTAAAGTGAAACCGGAAGAGATATACGGAGATCGGTATTCCAAGCAGCAGTCCAATGCCAAAAACCTTGGCAAATCTCCGGTAGAGCAGCAGCATGTCTCGAAGCAACTACAAGCTGCAAAGATGGAAAGGATATGAAACTCCTTAAGGAAAAGCTGGAAGAAAGATGCAAGTGAAATTTGGCAAGAGTTGGGATGTAGTTTAAGCGTGTTTCTCTTGTAATTTCATGTTTCAGTTCTTAGGACACTGCGAGGAAGTTTTTAGTTCAAGAAGAAGCAAGGCAATGCCATCAGTAACTGCTGCAATGAAAACCAATGTTCACCTACCATTCACGAATGAAGAAGGCAGTAAGTAAAGTGGGGCACTACCATATTTCTGGTACTCGTATGAATGCAAAACTTCTGTTACCTGACCTTATATTAAAATTGTTATCATTCTAAAATCATGTAGTTTCATTGATGGAAATGTTATAATAATGAAATTTCTTATTACATATATATAATTAAATATTTAATTTAAGTAATAATTGATTTAATATAAAAATTAAAACATGAAATCACAAGATAAACATGTAGTGGGGGCAAAGGATTGTATTCAGATAAAATAGGGTTACCACACACTTAAACTACATCCCAACCTAACTAAATTTCAGTTGCATCTTTCTTCCAGCTGTTCTAACGGAGTTTCATATCCTTTGTATCTTTGCTATAGCTTTGCTTTCAGTGCAGCTTGTAGTTGCTTCAAGACAACCGAAAGAGATATACCGGAGATCGGTATTCCCAAGCACCCTGATGCCGAAGACCTTTGCGAATCTTTTACTCCCACCTGCTGATGCTGCTGGTTTGTGCCCATCTTCCTTTGCTTCTCGTTGTGTTTATTTATTTTGAAACTTCGGTTCTAATTGTCAGCCAACATTTTTGCCTTAATAGTGACCTGGATTGGTGTAGAGCCAACATCCTTAAACACTTTCTTTTTTCGTTGTACTCAGATGTTTTGAATAATCATGAAGTTGGTTTAGTTAATAATCATGCAACAAAACATTCGTAATAAGTTGAGTTATATATATTGGTACGTGTCTGTTTATATGGATTCAACAATTATATAAGCCTTCTTATATTTTATCTCTGCAAATAAAATATAGGAGATCGCACGAAAACCACTTTGATTGATCTAATGAACATACACGAGGATAGTGAAACACAGACCAAAATAAAATATGCTTTAACAAAATAAATACGTTATAGTCTTAAAGTTCAAAGCAATGAATCTGCCATATGAAAACGTCGACTAGGATGCTCTCTTTCTTGAGGGCAAACTTTGTAAAGGTAACAAGATGTATGCAAAGGAGTTGATTGTTGAAAGGCAACAAAGCAACATTCCTATCTCGATCAATGGCAGATTTGATTCCCCTTTCCCTGAATATTTTGTACAGACATTGGCATATTTTTTACTCAACAAAAATCACTTGATTCCCAAATACTTAAACAACAAATTGAGGTTTGGAAAAGTCATACCATTGAAGGAGAAATAAGGTATTATCTAACATCTTTTAAAGCTTTTATCGATATAATATTTCTTTACTTACAGAAGACATTCAATTGTTGACTTCAGTTATGGATAAAATAATATCAAACCCAAATTTTACCATTGATGAGGATATTAAACTAGAGGTGAAATCAGATAATATGTCATAAGCTGAATTATGCGTACGATTATTTACCTATGCCATTATATTGATCAAATGTATGCTTACAAAGTTCCATTGAAGGAGAGGATGGAACAAAGGCAACAACACTAGCTGTTTGCCATCATAATACATCAGCTTGAAACCCCAAGCACTTAACTTTTCATGTTCTAAAAGTTAGCCAGGTATCGTGCCCGTCTATCATTTTCTAGTAAAAGATATCCTTATCTGGTTCCCTCGTCAACTTGATTATGATCACCTCGACCTCTCTTGTTGCTTTGTAGTGTCGTTTGTGACTTTTTTTTATCAGCTTGAAAATGACAGATGTCATGGTATCTAGCTTGATTTTAGAACATGAAAAGCCAAATGCTTGGGTTCCAAGTTGATGTATTATGATGGCAGTGTTGTTGCCTTTGTTCGATCCTCTCCTACGTAAATGATAAAATTTTGAGTTTAACATTATTTATCCATAGCAGAGTCAACAATTGAATGTCACTTCAAGTAAGAAAATATTTGCTTTGATAAAATCTTCAAATATGTTGGACAGTACCTTATTTTCCTTCAATGGCATACGTCACAAACATCAATTTGTTGTTTATGTATTTGGGATTCGGGTTTGTTGCCTTCAACAATCAACTCCTTTGCATCCAATCTTGCCCGTAAATGATAAAATTTTGAGTTTAACATTATTTATCCATAGCAGAGTCAACAATTGAATGTCACTTCAAGTAAGAAAATATTTGCTTTGATAAAATCTTCAAAATATGTTGGACAGTACCTTATTTTTCCTTCAATGGCATACGTCACAAACATCAATTTGTTGTTTATGTATTTGGGATTCGGGTTTGTTGCCTTCAACAATCAACTCCTTTGCATCCAATCTTGCCCTTAGAAAAAATATCCTTATGGACGTTTACAGATCATTACTTGGAACTTTAGACTATAATTTATTTATTTTGGTAAAGAATATTTTACTTTGACTTGTGTTTTACTATACTTGTAGCTGTTCACAGATCGTTAAAGTGATTTTCATGTGATCTCCTATATTTCATGTAGAGATAAAGTATAAGAAAGCTAACACAATTGCTGAATACATATAAACAGAATCGTAACAACACATGACTCAATTTATTAGGAATATTTTGTTGCGGAAACCAACTTCATGATTATTTAAAGCTTTTGGATACATGAAAACAAGAGTGTTTTAAGGATGTTGGTGTTGCACTAATCCAAACCACTGTTGGCTGACAACTAGGACCGAAGTTTCAAAATGTCTTCAAAGGAAGGTGTGGGTCGCAGATAAGATTTTAGCAAACAATATGTTGTCTTCAATCTTGCAATTTTTGTATCCAAGGTGACATAGGCTTTTGTACCACATAAATTAGAGTTGCAGATATCTTGAGTAATTACCCCAAAATACAGGAAAGTAGAGTCGACTACCACAAACAGTTCAGCTCTCACACTTTCCAAATTGATTACATGAGCTTTCATAAAAAAAATATTTTTATTTTTAAAAAAAATTAAAATTAAAATATATATATATAGATACACACGTGTTAGAAAACAGTTTTTTTAAACAACGGTTACATATAAACACCTAAAAAAATAATATTCAAAATATTTACTTTGGACACCTAAAATTATTAATATTTAAAATTAACTTTAAATATAACTTTGACATTTACTTTTTGTAATTAAACCTTTTATTAATGAACCAAAAGTCAATGGCTTTAAGTCGAAGAGACGGTCGATGTAGAGATTGGAGAACCGGCAAAAGCCCGAGTTGCGTTTCAATAAACAACCAATCAAAGAAGAGTCATGAAGTCAGCAATCCAATAATATGAACACACGTGGCTTGGCTCTACTTCCTTATGATTGACAGGTTGGTCGTTACAAGATCTTTCTTTCCTCCTCTGTCGATTCTTTTCTTCTTATTTGATTCTCAGATAAAATCAGAGGAAGAAGAAGAAGAAGAAGAAGGGAGAAACAGTTATTTAACGGCGGCGTAATGGAAGCGACCGGAGTCGGACTACGGCGAGCTTTAGTGCTGGTGTTTTGCGTGGCCGGGATTTGGTCTGCATATATTTACCAAGGCATTCTTCAGGAAACTCTGTATGTTCATTTTTTCTTTTTTGAATATTTATATTCATTTTTCTATTTATATCAAATTGTTCTCTCTTATTTTATTTGATTCTGCTGGACTTTTCCGATTAACTGCTGTTGATAGTTTCCGAGGTATGCATTTTTAATTACCCGACAGATCATTCGAAATTTCTAGTTAATTTGGAAGTGGATTTAGATGCAAAGATAGAAAAGGCAAAAAATGGATCTTAGTGAATATT